ATTACTAAGCAAAATTTTTGAAAATTATTGGAAAAAAGATAACTAATATTTAATTTAAGATACTAATTTTTATTTATTCTTTTGATATTATCATATTAAGAAGTAAAAATAATAATAGTTTAAAATAGAAAAGGAGAATTAAAAATTTACAATAAAAAATTTATTTTATGAAAAATATTACAAAGTTATTTAGAGATACATACAAATATATTTGTATATAAAAATATATATATTTTCTTATATGTTAAATTAAAATATATATTATATTATAAATCATTAATATGTAATATATTGTGTAATATGTAAAATATAATATGTAATGATATAAAATATATATTTCTATCTTTAACAAAAATATACAAAAGAAATAAACAAATATTGATTATATCATCTAATACAAAAAAATTTCACTTATTATATTAAAATTTAAACTAAAATTATTTTTAGTTGTTATATTTATTTGATTTTTTATTGCACTTTGAAGAAATATGACCCATTGTTTTGCAATTATTGCAAATAATATTTTTTGCTATGCAATGCGATCTAGATGCAATATGGGTTAAACCACAATAATTGCATTGCAGAATTTTTTTAGCTTTACATTTCCAGCTAAAATGATGTAATTTCTGACATTTAGTACAAATTTCATTATAAGCTGGACAATTTTTATGTCTATGATCACTTCCACAATAATGACAGTTAGTAATAAAATTTTTTGGACATCTTTTTGGAAAATGATTCCATTCATTACATTTTATACATTGTTTTCCCAACGATGGGCATTTATTAGAAACATGATTAGATCCACAACGTGTACAGCTTTTTGAACTATTATTATCAATATATAATTTCCAAATAAATGCAATTTCCTTTATTGTTAATTTATTGAAATCAGAAGAAAATGTAAATGTTGGAATTACACATTTCGCAGCATTATTAAATTGATATTCATTTATTTCTGCTAAAATTTTCTTCCTTATTAATTCTTGTTCATTGTCAATGTTTTTTTCTTTGATAATAAACTAAAAAAAAAAAATTATATAATAAGTAAAATTGTTGTTTTATATATATA